TCTCAACGTAGGGCTTACATATCTGATTAATAAAACCAATAACTCTTATTACCATAATTATAATACCATAAAATAAAAATACCAGCAAAAAATTAAATAACCATATCTGCTATACACGTTTATAATAACGCTCCGTAAATAAAGACATATAGGAACTGTTTCAAGATGGCTGTTTGCAGGAAAAATATTTTAATTTGAACAAACCTTGCTTTGAAGTTGATATCCTTGCAGTATTGACAATGTTGTAGAATTGTTAGCGAGCCTTTGTTTGTTCTAGTCATTATTTATTAAGTTACATGTTTGGCTTATGCTGTGTATCTTTGTAAAAATAGATAGGAAATATTATATTCTGTTTTTTTTTTGTAGAAATTGGTATAAGAAGGATACGCGATTACCAAGTTCAGTTGCAAAAGATCCATTTCTTGTTAAGTTTAAGTTTCTATTGCAGTATGAGGTGAAAAACCTAGAATCTAATAGTATGTATTTTATTGATCTGAATACTGAATCAAAGCTTATGAACATCCTTTAGTTTCTTTTTATTTCCAAATTATTCACACTAAAAAAAAGGACAATGAAAACCCAGAATAAATCACTTTCAATAATCTTCAAAACAGTTCCAACATTTCATGCTTTCAGCAAACTGAAGTTGGGCTGAAGGCAAGGTTTAATTATGTTTGTAACCGTCCGAGTAACAACTTGTCATAACTTCGGGATTGCAATCCACTGAGCGTTAGTTGCAGCGGTGTGGTTCTACCAACTGTGTTGCTCAAATGTGATTGGGAAACTATAGAGTTGAAATATAGTGATTTTGGTAGTGTTTTCTTGTTGTGTATATGCCTGATGGGGTATTTTTAAACTTAGTCTTCTCCTTAGTTTTGTTACACTTTTGTCTGAGACATTTTATTCTCTTTAAATAGAAAAACATATAGTTTTTTTAGAACCGCCTAAAAAACATGTTGTCGTTTGGTGTTGTGATTATCCTAGGGAGACACGAATCATTTACTACAAGGTGAAGCTTTGAGGTGTTCATTAGCTCTTATCCCATAAAAGAATGTCGCGGAGAACCTAACACTCCCTAACTAACTACTACTACACTAACACCCCGGGTTACCGGGGCTCCGGCTCCGGCTCCGAACGGGGTGGATTTTAGTCAGTAAGAGTCTGACACTCCCTCCCGCCTCACCCAGGCGGGAGAAGACATTCGATGACTTTCGCCCCTTAAAAAAAATCCCATAAAATAAACATAAAACATTTACATTTAATACACTAAGTGAAGGTATAAACTATCACATATTTTCATTCTTAACATACAATTTCAATTGCTCCTATTAGAGCCCCTTCGTAACACTTATTCGTATGTATTACATTCAAGAATTAGGTTTGCAAACTAGAGTGACGGTCTGTTGATAGTAGATAGCCGTGTGAGGACGGACAGACAGACAGAGACGGCTATGCATTAGTAATACGAAACTAACACAGGTTTCTATCAGACATATATGTTGATGGGGAAGGTAACATATTATTATTTTGCTTGTAACTTGTGACAAACTGGATTGGAGAGGGGAAGTATTATTGTGTCTGTCTCTTAGTAGGTACATGTATTTTTGATTTTCTGTGGTCCATTACATACTGCCTCTTATTTCAATCTGGATACATTTTACCAACAAATAGTTGTGTATACATACTTACGAGTCGATCGGACGAGTCTCTCACGAAGATATCTGCCGCACCTTTTCGCCATCGACCCTCACGACAGCATAATTATGCATCCCCATCATATAGATGGTTGGCAGGCCACAACTGTGCGGTTCTCACGTAGCTTTCTGCCTCGCATAGCAAAACTGTGGAATGATCTGTCGTCGGCGGTATTTCCGAACCGATACGACCTTCAAACCTTCAAGAAAAGAGCGTTTTTCTTTTTAAAAGGCCGGCAACGCACCTGTGACTCCTCTGGTGTTGCGGGTGTCCATGGGCGAAGCTGATCGCTTACCATCAGGTATTCCATAAAAAAGATCATACCTGTGTTGTTTCAATTTATATAACTAATTACGGGTTTAATTGGAGCCTTCTAGAGATAGAAGATATTATAGAAGAATCAAGTCCATAGAACACAAAGGTTATACGGTTCAGTTATTCAATAAATCAAAGGATTTTACTGCTCCTTGTTCCTACCTATACTTGACTACGCATTATAGAATCATAATAAATGACTAGATTATTAAACACTACACCACGATAAACAAAACAAGTCTATTTGTATTTCTCAAACATAAAACTAAACAGAATATTTCCTGCTCGGCCCCTTTTGCATTCTAAGCTAATATTTCAGTGACTTCTAATACATTTTCTACTCGACTTTGTAAACGTTCCGCAGCTGAAACATTTTTTATTTTACTTTTTGCTAAAGGAACGTGGAAGTAATGTTGTGTCGGGCATTTTTCTCTCGAACCGTTTGTCCATTTAAAATGCCGGTACTAAAGACTTGTGTCCTTAACTAATGACAATAGTCCGTTCGACGTATTCAATTAGTACTTAGGCGACATTTATTTGCTATTCTTGGTGAATTTGCAATTTATTTTGTTGTGTTGTAGCATTTAATGGTGAACGAATAAGTTTTCTTTTTAATTGGTTTGTGGTAGCGACAGGAAGTGTCAAGTTCGGTGTCAGTTCTGTCGGTTTTATATTGTTCATTGTGAAGACATTTTAGTCTTATTTTCACAACCCTTGCTTCCATTATTTACTCTTGAAGAAATATAGCATCCTTTTTTGGTGGTTCAATCGAAAACATAGATAGTTAAATCCTCGAAGCAAGTATAACAGCTCACACATATTACCCACTTAGTTTTTAGTAAATTTTCCGTGTCTTTTTTCTGCCTTTAGTGGAAACTATCATTTTTTTTTCTTCTCCTGTTATAATACCTTCGGATGCACTTCGCTGCGGGAATCAAGACAATCATGTCTCTGGGGCGCGCCAGATTTCAGTGTTCCGGTGTTTTCATGGTTATATCTACTCTACAGTAGATGGATCTACATCCAGGCTTACAGGAGTTGCAGCAGTTTTGGGGGGTTGTGGCGGGCTTGCCCCAATTAAAAGAAAAAAAAAAGATTTTACATCCTTTCAATAGCATATGTGGGACATAAATACACAACACATGTAACACCAATCAAATTAATCTCCAATATTTCAACAACAATTTATGCCTTTTTAAAGTCCAGCCACAATTAGTAACAAAGTAACATTAGAAGTACTGAGTAAACAGCTCAGTTCATTGGTCGTAGACTTGTACAGTGATTAACAAGTGCACACATGTTCAGCACGCCTGACATGGTAACACTTGAATATGTAATGACCGCCATCTTAGGAACTTGTCAAATGCGCACATGAATACTGTGGAGACGGCGTGCTATATTTATTGGAGATTTTATTTATTTAACATAACATAAC